GGGTATGAGGGTGTTTGGGACAGTTTGGGGATGTTGGGGGTGGGTGTGGGGATGTGTGTGGTTATTGGGGGTTATGGACTCCCAGGGAAAAAAGTTAACTAAAAAAAGTGGCGTGCTGACGACCCCCGACCCATAGGTGCCGACAACCCCCGACTGGTCGGCTGGTCGGCAGCTGACCCTTTCAAGGGGCACCGAATGTCGGGGCAGCCAGAAAAATGTTACCTCCAAACCACTTTCAGTGAGCCTCTGAGACAATGACAGGGGCAAGGCAACCCTTTCCAAATTCTCACTTCTTTTGGGGGGGAAAGTGAGTCCTATCGCAACTCGTGCCCCTTCCAAACCTACAGCTTGCCACCAGAGATCGGATTCTGTCCCTACAGATCCAACCTCAACTGGATGTATTGCGGGCCCACTCTAAGCAGCTTTGTCCCCCAATCCTTCACTTAGCAGATCCCTAGCCGATCCCCCCTTGGACAGGCATAGTAGCCCAAGCATACAAACGTCACACGCAGACATATTGACTTAAGTAAGCCACGTTGCCACATCGAAACACATTCTCATACAAGGAGGAGGTTCCTGACAAAGGGGTGTTTCCTTACAAACGGCTGCATTTGCTGCATTCGATGCAGCAGTAACGACCATGCCACCCTTGTTGCCAAAAGTCATTCTTTGCCATATGTGCAAGAAATCTTCATTCCGCCGTGCCATGTTTTCTGTGTGCGCAGCCAGATGACAGCTGAGAAAGCACACGGATCTTCTCAGCACCGTTGCTCGTACACCAACTGCGCCCTGTGCATGCACCACCACCATCCAATCTGATTACAGAAGTGCTTGGAAGAAGCTTAAATGGTCACAGATTACTCCAATTATCCAATGATAATTATGTCAATCCAACAGATTCCAACTTGATGCGAGTGAATAAACCGAAACGATGTTTTAGGAACTTACCAAAGCAAAGGAGCTCTGCATGCAACAGTGTTAATGAAATGATGGTTGAACTGCTCTAGCATCTAACAAATTTGGAAAACAAAACAAGATCCGCTTGTCCACCGCAAGAAAGTTACAGCAAACAGAACTACTTGTCCACCCAAAACTACAAATGCACAAAAAAGTCCACCTCGTCTTCGAATCTCAACACATGTCCTCTGTCAAGACAATCATTGTGATATGGTATGGTATGGACCTCGACCATTTTGGCACAAATTGAACCACTGCCTTCATTTTGCACTCTTTGGTTTGCACCTCACTTCCAATTGCCCAAGACATGGGCTTTTTCTCAACAAGTTACAACACGCATCCAATAATCTATTTCCACCAGACAACCCACAGAGTGAACTTGCTTCTTTCTTTCTTTCTTTTTCTTTTTTCTTTTTTTTCTTTTTTTTTTTTCTGACCACCACTACGGGCATGTTCTTTTCAAACCGAAGCATCGGGGACGTTCTTTTCAATTTCAGAACGGTGACGAGACAGTCTGAGCATCAATGTTGTTGTATGGGAACTGACGAGGATTTTCCGAGGATTAACGGGCATGTTTGCTTTCGGTTATCAGCTGTTGATTTTGTCCCTTCTTTTCTGAAGAATTCACGGAATATTCCAAGGCCTGACCACAATACTTCGCGGCAAGGATTGATCCGACAAATCATATCTTCTTTTGCACAAACATCCATCCTACCGACCTTGGAAACGGATCTATTTGAGAAGGAATGGATTGATGCTTGTTTTAACAGAACGGCTGATATGGTAGGGGGGTGTGAGACGAGCATGGGCGAGGTCCTAAGATGGAAGCAGAGACTGGGGGATTTGGTAAGATGCCCAATTGATCACAACGTGGGTGATTCCTTAGTGTGTTGCCCAATAGTGTACAGGAAGAGTATGGAAAAGCTATTTTTGGCAAACCCCGGCTTTGTGCACTGTGAAAGTGAGGTGAGGGCGATTCAAGAATGTGCGGATAAGTACAAGAGATGTGGTTTTGAGCGATTGGGAAAATGGAATAACAAAGGGAGTTTGGGACAGGTGTACTCTGTGCCAAAGCACAAGGATATCTCTAAATGGCGTCCGATTTGCCCCACTTATTGCGAGTGTGGTGTTGCTGCCAGTAAGAAGATTGCAAGTACGGTGAACCAGCTGTTGTGGGATTTGCCTCGAGAAACAAATTTTAACTTAAAAAGCATGGCGGACTTGGCAGCGAGTGTTCGCACGGTTAATGCGGATTTGAAGAGAGGAGAGAAGTTTGCAAGCGCAGCTTTTGACATAAAGGAAATGTTCTGCAACTTGCCACATGTGTCGCTTTTGGAGGCTGTAAGATGGGTTGTGGACTTTTGGGAGATCAGAGGTTATACTGGCGTGTCGGTGAAGACAAGGGGTAAGGGCGCTAAATTACAAAGTGGGGGTTCGCAGGTGGGCTGGAGTTCCATTCCCTTCACTATTATTGTTGATTTTGTCAAATTTGATCTGGAATGCACGCTGTTCAAGGCATGTGGTCGCGTCCTACAGCAGAGGGTTGGAATACCGATGGGCAAAGCGTCTAGTCCGGCCTTGGCATGTCTGCTCTGTGCCTACAATGAGTTTAGATTTATTTCTTCTCTTGGTAGTGACTGTTGCCTGGTCCATGGGATACGAATGGTTGATGATGTTTCATTCTTTGTGCGATACAATGTTGGGGATCCGGTGTCCCTTTCCCTCGCGTCGTCTATTATAGAGAAGTTCAGAATCTGTTACGATAGTAATCTCGTGTTAGAACAGACTAGTGGGGGAGATTGCTGGGATTTCTTGGGCTGTGTAATTAAGGTTCTAGGATGGCCTTGGGGTATACAGGTGGTGGCGCTACACAAGAACCAAAGGGGGTACAGAGAGAAAAATCTTCTCTTCCAGAACTTGCAGGACTTTTGTTCTTACTCCAGCCGGCTGCAAAAGATGGCCGTCATTGGCTCATGCTTACACAGGGCAAAGGCGTACACCACAATGGCAGAGACTGAGGTGGCGTTCCTGTTGACCCTGAAAATTGAGCTCAGGAAGCGAGGATTTCCGGATGAGTACTTCGACAACGCACTAAGCAACTTTTCGGCAAAATTTGGGGGCATATGGTCTGACTGGGTCGAATGCCTGACGGGGTGGGGAGAGCAACGGTCGGGCATTTTGAGGAGGAGGGCTTGTGTGGGGCATATGGTTCGACTGGGTTTGATGCCTGACGGGCTGGGGAGAACAGCGGTCGGGCATTTTGAGGAGGAGGGCTTGTGTGGGGTTTTCGGCATGGCGCAAGAAGGGCATGACTGAAGGTGTCCAGCATAGTAAGGACAAGGGGCAAGGGCGCTAAATTGCAGCACGGCCCCCCCCTGTGTTAGGACTGGTGGCACATTGTCTGCTCTTTACTTTTTACTTTTACTTTCTTTTTATGTTTTTCTCTTATTTCTTTTTTCGAAAATCTTTTCCCGAAGGTTCTTGGGGTCTGGCAGGCCTGCT